AAGAGACAGGGTCTCACTATATTGCCCAGGCTGGAATGCAGTGGCTATTCACAGGCGCGATCCCACTACTGATCAGCATGGGAGCTTTGACCTGCTCCGGTTCACCCCTCCTTAGGCAACGTGGTGGACCCCTGCTCCCAGAAGGTCACCATACTGATGCCGAACTTAGTGCAGACAACCGATCGCCATAGCATACTACAGCCCAGAACTCCTGGACTCAAGCGATCCTCTAGTCTTAGCCTCTTGAGTAGCTAGGACTACAAGCACACGGAACATTCTAAACAATGGAGTACGGAAATTAAGACTGAAAGAATAGACAGGTTTTCCAATAAATTTTCCAGAACCATGTAGGCAGGTAACCACAGTGAAGCGTTATCACAGTTTGTCTGGGGCATAAAGGGGCAGGGGAGATCAAATAAAGCATCTCCGAGGAGCCATAACCAAATCCAACAATCCCAGTGAGATCACTGCCATAGCAATGTGTCCCATGATGAAACTAGTTCCAAACACACACTATCTACTCTTAAGTCAAGAAAATCACCTTAAATAAAAATCACTACTAACCTTGACTAATTTGTATGACATCTATAAGAAAGTATTTTCTAAAAGAAAAACATTCCCAATTATTTTCTGAAACATAATATTCACTTGTGTGACATACATGCCCACCTGTTGAAGACACTTTCAAAAGAAAAGACTCATCTTTAGTATATCATTAAATCACTGCCAAACTTTACAGTGAAAGGACAAATAAGACATCACCTTTTCAGCCAGTCAGGAAGACTCCTCCTCACAGTCTCAGTAAGTAAGTACACACCTACCCCTCTCCCATAACACTGCCACCAAAGGTTTCAGAAAAGGTATTGGCAAAAGGATATTTTTTTTTCTGGTTACTCCAGCCATGTAAAGTTGATTTGGGAAAAGTTGATTTAATCAATTATTTATCTTTTGTGGTAAGGGTTCTTCCTTATTTTTATGAAAGATGCTTTCAAAGTGGCATCTTTTGACCATCTAGCTAGAACCATTGGCATATTGATCAAACGTGAAGGTTAAGAATCTGCCTACTATATATTTCACTCTAGCAAATATAGGTGACACCATTTCCTTGCAAATTTCTAACAACAGAACACATAAGCATGGCAAACTAGTCTCAAAGGCTAGACACAAACATAACAGTATTTACTTTCAGATGCAATTTATCTAAGTGAATAAACTTATAATTTCAAAAATATTGAGAAGTAACGTTTTCCATATTAGGTGTAAATAAATGATCTTTCCATTCAGCTTTTTTTTCTTTTTATTCAAGTTGTGAGATTACCAGATTACTAGATCTGACATCTGCAATTTGGTTTTATGCTCTTTGGGCAGAAATTGTACATATAATCAAAATCTTGCAGCAATAGTTTCTTCAACAGAGTTCTGAAGGCATGTCTAGTGAGGACAAAGAATTTTTTGTTCATTGTGGTAGAAGGGGAATAAAGACAAGGTAACTAATCAACAAACAATGATGCATTAGTGTTATTCTTCCTGGAAATACAAAAATAAAAATAAAACCTGAGGGCTTTTTTTCATGATTTCTTTAAATGAAGATACAAGTTCACAATTCCTTATTTAAAAACCCTTGCGAACAGGCTCAGCACCTGTAGTTCAGCGGCTAGGGCCCCAGCCACATGCACCAGAGTTTACGGGTTAGAATCCAGTCTGGGCCTGCCAAACAACGACAACTACAACCAAAAAAAAAAAAAAAAAAA